CCTCCCCCCTCTATTATACACCTACCGTCCTCCTCCTCCAAATCACTCCCCTCTATTATACACCTACCGTCGTCCTCCTCCAAATAACTCCTCTCTATTCTACACCTACCATCCTCCTCTAAATAACTCCCCTCCATTAAACACCTATCATCCTCCTCCTCCCCCCTCTATTATACCGTCCTCCTCTTCCCTCTATTATACACCTACTGTCCTCCTCCTCCAAATAACTCCCCTCTATTATACACCTACTGTCCTCCTCCTCCAAATAATTCCCCTCTATTATACACATACCGTCCTCCTCCTCCCTTTATTATACACCTACTGTCCTCCTCCTGCAAATAACTCCCTTCTATTATACACCTACCATCCTCCTTCAAAGTAACACCCACCATACACCACAGGTGTATATCACACCATACCCAGGAACTATAACCACTTCAATGAGAGGGATAATTTAAAACTGAATGGAATGACAGCCATAGGAGACTCCAGGCACCATAATCAATTCAATGAGATGGGATGGTTTAAACACAGATTGGAGGGACAGCGCCAATGGACTCAAGCCACAATAACCACTGTTATAGATCTCACAGTCTCCCTAGAATATAGTTGTTAATATTTGGGGCAATAGAATTTGGTTGATAAAACACTGGTGCTGTGTTTCCCTCTCCATTCATTCCAGTCCAGGAACTTCTGTCCACAAATCCACCAAACAGAAAAATGCAGAGCTTTTCACTAGACACTACAAAACAAAAGAAAAAGAAAAAAAATCACATAGGTGATTGCCAATTCTGCTGTTCTACCCACATATCAGACTCACGATACTGGCAGTGATGGATCTGGAAATACCATTGTAACGGATCACCTGGCACCCTGACTGGGTACCTCCATTGATGGATGCACCTAGCGCTTCTTACAAGGATTCCAAGCACTCTAGCCGACACCACCCGCCAGGCGAACCTCTCTTACTTCAGAGCTGAAGCGAGGAGCTGAGCTCTTAAAAGAGCTTAGGTGATTATAGCAAGGGAATATACAGAACATAGCAATCTCTTGTAGCAGGACTCCAAGTTGAGGGTGAAGTAGAACTGACTGTACTAGCACACACAGCCTCTCTTTATTCACAAACATAGTACAGCCCACAGGGTTTTGAAATACAACCAATCAATCCGTACAATACACACAGACACTCCCACACAAAATCCTCCCCTCTGCCTGTGATATGATTACTGAACACAATGGTTAATATAATTAACCAGAGAAATACAGTTTTAAAAAAATATTAATAACTTCCAAAATATACATGCCACAAACATAAAAATTACATATTCGAACCAAAATTCAGCCAAGTCCATCCAGGGGTTAAAAAGTTAGCTGGAGGTCCCTTTTTGACTGACCGCAAGCACATTTTCATGCCCAAAACAGTTCCATAGATTTAGGCTGTGCGGTCGGTCTATTTCAGGCTGAAAAAACTACTAAGCTTAGTCTCTGTGGCTGCACAATCATTGTGGGAGAAGGTAAGGCTCAGCGGTGTTCGTTGAACTGTGTAGCCGATTTCAGTTCCATGAATTGAATAAAAAAAACATGACTGCCGCCACGTGTTCGTTTGTCGAATGGCAGCCCCCCAGCGTTCGGCAATTTACCTACAGCAGGCTCCCAGCCTGGGTGGTAAATTGCCTGCACACTTCCACTTCTGGGTGGTCCGCCTGTGTGGTACCTGGTTCAGTAAGCCGCATTTACTGAACCAAGTGGGAGAAAGCCAGGAACACAGTATATTAACAGTCTGGGGACACCGTCTTAAAGGGGCATTGTTCCCAAAAGTCACAGTATGTCCCCAGATGGTTCTTAAAGGGCCATCAGCAGCATAATAAAATACAATATGCCTGAATACTGTATTTAAAGGGCCAAATCTCCCAGGGGCCATAGTCAGCAGGCTGGAGGCAAGCACACAGGCTTCTCCAATGCCCAGTGGCGAGGTTGGTTTCGCCACAACCATTCTTGGAGCATAGCTGGGACTGCCAGGGTGACCAACTTGTAAAGCCAAAACAATTCCAGGAAGGTGGGAGTGGGGAGCCGCAATTCCAAGAAAATGGACAAGAGGTACATGTTCTATGGAGACATGTCAATAAAGCCAGTACTGCCCAAAATATGAAGTCCTGCCTGGAAAGATGGGGACAGCTTATCTGACTAGCCTTACTCCTCGCTGCTGAAGCTCTATCTCACATTGTGCTGGCTGGTACACTTCCCTGGGTTCCTGAATGCCGAGCACTAGACAGCAAGCCAAGGATAACAGGACAAAAGCCCCAAATTGGGTCTATTAGCAGACATTTTGCATGCACACAAACATCTGGCTACACACTGGGCATCATCCATGATATTCCTGCATTTACAATGACGTTAATGAGTAAATATTACTCTTACAGACTTATACTTACTGTATGCCCGACTCTGTATTGGTTGAGGAGTAGTACGTGTAGAATTGGCAACCTGGGTTACGTGTGCATGCCAACTGACACTCATCCAGACTGCCAACTGGACCAAAGGACAACACATTGCCCACAAATTCAATGTCCTCATAGGACTCTGACAGGCATCCTGGAAGTAAAGAAGAGATATGATGAAGCCCAAATCGGGAGCGAGGGAGACACCCAGGGGAAACACAGACAGGAAACACTGAAGAGTCAGGAAGATTGACAGTCAAGTTTGTGGTAGAGAGTGCTGATCCTGAGGCTCTGATTTAGAACGTATGTGAGTACACAGATCTGCAACACAGCATGAGGAGTTGTGACTCTAGGAACATTATATAAGATACAGTCAAAACTATGGGGCCCTAATAATTACACTGGGGATGGGGTAACTCACACTCAGAAACACAGACACACACACACACACACACACACACAACAGTAAAGAAAGACATGCATAAGCACACACACAATCACAGTCCAAAGTCACACAAAAAGACACACTCATAAGCAAAGACACTCATCACTGTGTTCTTCCTGCACAAGTCCCTTGTGCGCTCTCTAGTGATGTGGATACCTGGTGGTGTGGGTAAGCAGATGCCAACACTGCCACGTATAGTTAGCAGCAGGTGCCCCAGTGGCACTCTTAGTGGTAGGGCACATTAGGAAGGCAGCAATAAATAATCTAGTGGGGACACGACAAAGATACAGAATGTGTGGGATTTAATTAAATGAGGACGGGTGGGGGTCAGATACAGAATGTATGGGATTGGATTATACAGAATTGTAGCAGACCATGGGTAACCCGGCTGGTTACCTCCGCTATTAAGCAGACCCATTTCCCTCCCAGTAACTGGATGACACATGGTTCAAGGGGTACAACAGCAACTTTATTGGCCACACGCAGCTTTATACTTTCCCCATGCAAGGGGTGGAACACACCTGAAGACATTGTCCCCTCCCAGGGTCCTCCCCCACTGGAAAAACCCCAATCTCTATGTCCCCTGTTCCCGCCACTCAGTGTCCCCTCCCAGGTGCCCACTGAGAATTCTCTGTATCTGGGGGTCGTAGCACGGGAATCTTCCCACCTCTTTACCTCCCAGTGACAGAGAGCCCGCCATTGTCCTCAAAGTATGTCCCCACCAATCTCAGGGACCCCCAGAACGGTAACGGCCATGAACAGCCACCGTTCGCAGGTTCCCTGTGTGGAACCAGGCAAGGGTAGTGCCTCCTTTCAGAGATGAATGCTCCCCCTGGACAGCGCTTGCCTATATGAACGGCGGCCACCCAGAGAAGCACTCAATTACTTCCCTTGTGGTTTCACATTATGTTGCGAGTTGTGAACGCTCTAATTGATTGGTGTGAACATTCCAATGGGTGCCGGGGAGGTCATCGTTCCTCGGGAACCAAAAGAGGAGGGAAGCAATCCGCAAATGCTCCTCCTGGATGGCGTTCGTTTGGACACCTCAATATGAGGTGCGAATGTTCTAAAACTACATTCTAAATGGGATTTTGTGGTTGTCCCCATTCGGGATGTAAATAGAGTCCCGCTCATGGCGGTGCTCATGAACGGGGAGCAGATAGCTCTACAAACACAACAAATGAAACACAGTGTCAAGATAGGGAAAACACACGAAAGGGCGGTCAGGATAGTAACACACATTGCAGGGTAACCAAGGCAGTTCACAGTCTAGCGGGGGTTCCGCTACACAGCTCCCCCTTAAACACTGGCCAGCATCCGCAGGCAAGTCCTAACGGAACAGCCTGCTGATGTCCGGGGGAAGCAAGCATGGATCACTTGTCCAGGGCGGTCTCCTGGACAGCCTGTCGGCATGTGATGCATACTTTTCAAGTTATGAATAATGTGGAAAAATTTTATTTTTCTGCTTGTGCTAAATTACATTACCCATTTTGTAAGGTAATTGAATCACGTGCAGAGGGGAGGAATTTGTGTGGGAGTGTCTGAGTGTATTGTATGTGCTTATTGGTTGTGTTCTAAAACCCTGTGGGTGGTACTAATGTGTAAGAATGTGTATATAAGAACAATAAACCCACAGCTCTGTCTGTTCACTGCTTGACCCTCAACACAGAGCTTTGTCTCGTTCTTGGGGGGATTTATTGTATGCTGTTCCAGTTTGACTGCTAGGAGTGTAAACCTATTCGTATGGTTTTTCCTATTCGGCTGTTTACAGCATTCGTATGGTTTCCTGTTTGGCGGATTGGTGTTCTGCAGTAGCTGTGCCTGCATCTCTGGAAGGGGAAGATCTCCTAAACGGCGGTTTAACCCTTTTATGCTGAGGGTGCCGTTACAGTCCCTGACCTGGCTCAGTATTGCTCCCAATCTGAACATGGAGGCATCTGTGTGGACGAGAAAACGTTTCCTGGGATTAGGAGCGGTCAGTACAGGGGCATTTACCAGGGTGTCCTTGATGGCTCGGAACACCGACTCACACTCTGGGGTCCAGGCTACCTGTTGGGGTAGGTTTTTTCAGGTCAGGTCAGAGAAATTTAGCTATGACACTGTAATTGGGGACAAACATTCTCTAATATCCGGCAGTTCCTAAGAAGACCAGTACCTGGGTTTTTGTTCAGGGACGGGGCCAACTAGCTACAGGTTCTCCCTTGGCCGGTTCAGGCTTCTGTGCCCCACACTCCACCCAATGCCCCAGGTACTGCACCTCGGCCATCCCGAGGTGACACTTGCTCTGTTTTACTGTTAAACCTGCCTCTGATCCAATCCAGCGACTGCCTCAGTGTAACGAGTGGCATAGTCCACAATGGTCAAAATGTACCTCTTCCCAGAAGGACTAGGCATGGCCTGGGGACCTATGAAATCGACAGCTACCCTGCCGGAAGGATCCTCAATGACCGGTAGGGTATGGAGCTTGGCCTTGTGCCGGTTGCCCCTCTTCCCTACCCTCTGGCAGATATCACAGATCTGCCTCAGATCCTTGGACATGCCCAGCCAGAAAAAGCTTTTGGTGAGCAGATTCTTTGAACGGCTCATTCCCAAATGCCCGGTCAGGGGAATATCGCAAGCTATCTTCATTAGCTCTTGCCAATATTTCCTGGGAGCTAACAACTGTTTGGTGGTAGGAACTGTCCCTGGCTTCCTGATCTCCGCGATGCAATGAACCCTTCCCAGTCTTTTCCCACCTACCCAGAGGCTGCCAAGTCCCTATAACCCTGGAGCATGCTTCTGCCAATCGATGCTTCCTAGCGGACATTGAGGACCATAAGCACCATAGCCCCCCTAGCCACGCAGCTTGGCTGGGGTTTTACCATCCCTTCCCAGTGGGAAGGCCTCCCCTCCAAGAGAGTATATAGGTCTGGCGGTGTAGCTCTTAAAAGAGCTAGTGATTATAGCCAGTATAGTAATCCAAGAGCAATACCAGGAGCAGGGATTATAGCTGGTATAGCATTTCCCAACAACAAGAGGCAAGACTGTATTGAGGGTAAAAGTAAGACTGGTTTAATTGTAGCCACACTGACCTTTTATGCAAGTTCCCAAGCAAGGGTACGCCCACATTGACCTTGTTGGGGACTGATAAACTTACAAACCAATAATAACAGAGTTAAAATGTAAGGCACTCCCACACACAGCACACAATCCCTTCCCTCTGCCTGGGAGATAATTGTGTACTGTATTAGCCCAATTATCTCCAGGCAGAAAAAACATTTTACAAAAACCCAAAAATATATGCCCACAAATGTTACATCCCCTTATAGCCTTGATCTGGGTGACCAACATATGCAAAAAAAAAAAAAAAATCAGACAGATCAGTTCAGGGGTTCAAGAATTTTATGGAAGTCATTTATTTAACCGACCACATGCATGGTCCCATGCCCAAAACAGTTCCAGAGAATCAGGGCTTGCGGTTGGTCTAGTGAGGTAGTTTACAAATGAAAAAAAAAAAAACACACACGTAGTCAATATTTATACCGTGGAGCTTGTTCACCTCATTCCGACGAACGATTCCACCGAACTGAGATCTTCAAAGATGTAAAGTATCAAACGCAGGCTATGATGGAAGTCCAGCGGTGTTCTGGAGTTTCAGCATCCGAAAACAGTTCCATGAACTCAACGATCAAACAGTGATGCCTCATTCACGGGAAGAAGATGTACGCCACCTTGTGGTCGACCATGTGAACTGCGGCCACCACACGAACAATTAGAATGCTGAGGTAAGAATCGTTAAGAGGTGATGATAGGGCTTAATAAGCTCTCAGGTGGTCCCTGGTTCGTGCGTCTGTTTGATTTCCAAACAGAATAGCAAAAAGTCTTTTATGAGCTTTTTGCATGGCCCATAGTCCTGAGGCTGCCAAACGGGCCCCTCCAAGATACACTTTCGATACACTTCAACACATATATTTAATAAGCGAGTACCCCCTCAAGTCCTATATCCCCAGATAGCCTGGATCTGAGCACCCAACATACCCTGAAAGCACTCAGGTCCCTTGAACGCAGCCAAAACACCACCGGGGTAAACTTTAGACTGACAGCGCACAAAAGGCCTACCTAAAATAGTTTCACGAAACCAGGCTGATCGGCCAGACTCCTTTGGGGGTACTGTAACGGACCGTTTCAGCACACAAGGGGTTAAAACCGTTAAGGCGATCTTCCCCTTCCAGAGATGCAGGCACAGCTACTGTAGAACACCAAACTCCCGAACCGCAAATAAGGGAATGCTCCAATCTCCCGAACTGCATACAATATAGCACTCCAAACTCCAGAACTGGAACCATACGAATAGCTGCTAGCAGACGAATAGGAAAAGCACCCAAGCGGCTTACACTCCTAGCAATCAGTCTCTATCAGCATACAGTAAATCCCCCCCAAGGACGAGACAAGGGTCAAGCAGTGGTCTGTTTGAGCTCCACGGGATTCCTATCTGGGGTATGGTGTAGTCAGGTACAACTACCGAATACAGGGCCGTTCGTGCACTTCTACCAAACAAGAAGGGATGTCGGTCGGCTTCAGCGATGTTCGCGCCAAAATGCATCCGTTTTCAGTTCCATGAGTTGGGTGTCGAACACCGCTGTGCGTTCGCGTGTTTAAAATGGCCGCGACCTTGCATTCGGTATACGAATGGCGGCCACCCAGCATTCGTCAATTAAGCTGCGGTTAACCGCAGCTTCTGGGAGGCTAATTGCCGACACACTCCAGCTCCCAGGTGGTCCAGACATTCGTGTGTTAGTTAGGTAGATTGGATCTACCGAACACCGGGCAGAAAAGCACGAATAAGTCTTTTCTGCAGGAGAAACGAAGTCTTTTAACATGGGGCCATAATCCAAAGGCAACAGGCGAGCAACCAGGCTTCTCCAATGCAATGTGGTGAGATTGCTCTCGTCACAGGTACAAAATACAATAAAATACCGAACATAACCATTTGTGAATATGCCAAGTTTGTGTCTCTTGTTCGTGAGTTTGCTCCCACTGAACACCTTTTAATTCCCACACCTTTTGCCAAACTTCGATGGAGGTGGACGTTCCAGAGGTGTTCGCGCCGTCGAGTGTCTGATTTTAGTTACAAACACTCGACAACCAAACACGGCTGTCTGTGTTCACGGCTTAAAATGGCCGCCACTACATGTTCACATTTTATCGTTGTTACTGGAGGTGTTCGCAGAGGTTAATGGGGTCAACAAGTGGCACACTCCGCATATGGGTGGTCTGTCATTTGGTGATTTATCAGTTATTCGAACAGATCAATAAGGGTTAGGCTGAGGTAGGAGTCTTGGGGCTGGTTGGTAGCTGGGGGGGCTGAATGTTGGGACCGTCGGGTGTCAGCGTACTCGTCCGCCCGCTTGGCATCACCGGCGAGGGTCTTGGGCTGCTTATCTCTCACCCATTCCTGGGCTTTGGTGGTTAGTCCATTCTAGAAGTGCTTCATCATGAACAACTGGAGCACCTCTTTGGGGGACTTGGCTTGTTGCAAGTCCACCCAGTTCTGGGGAGCTCTGTATGGGAGTCCTTCTTCCCTTTTCTTGTCCCTCTGAACTTTCGCCAGTATGCATCCGGAGTTATGGCATACTGGGCTAGTAGGACCTCTTTCATGGCTACGTAGTCACAGATCTAGTCTCCGGGTACTGCTCGATACACCTCTGCAGCCCTTCCTGTCAACTTGCTGCCCAGGATGGCGTCCCATCCGCCTGGGCGACTACTTGTAGGAGGCCCTGCTGCTCAAAGTCCTGCAGGAAGTCTTCAATGCCCTCCACTGCATCCCTGAAGGCAGTATGGGGTAACTTTGGTTTGGTGCAGGGGTGGCTGGCCCCTCTCTTGTCTGTGGTTCCTAAAGTGTTGTGGGACTCCCACCCCCTACTTCTGAGCCAGGACGAATGCTTGGGTCTCAGAGATGAGCTTGGTCAGGAGTTCTGCTGTGGAAGGCTCATTGTAGAAGGCCCAGTGACAGAGAGACCGCCAACCTCTGCTATTGTCCCCAAAGGATGTCCCCACCAATCTCCGGAACCCCCCAGAATGCCACCATTCACTGTGTGGAACTAGGCAAGGGAAGCATTTCTTTTCAGACATTAATGCTCCACCTGGCCGGTGCTCACCTATACGAACAGTGGCCACACAGAGAAGCACTCCTTAATTACTTCCCTTGCGGTTTCACACTATGTTGCGAGTTGCCAACATTCCAATGGGTGCCAGGGAGGTCCTCGTTCGGGAACCGAACGAGGTGGGAAGCAATCCGCGAATGCTCCCCCTGGATGGCGTTCATCTAACGAATGGGCTGCCACCCAGGGGAGCATGCTAGGTCTGTCATCCTTAAGAAGGCTCCAGAGAGGAGCCGAAACATTGATGTGGACTTTTTATTTCTTTATACGAATTAAAAGTTATATTTTACTTTATCTATAGGTTCCTGGAGTGATGTCCGTTCATTGGAATATATATATATATATATATATTTTAACTTAAGGAAAGCTTGGCTTTGTGTTTTTAGCTCTAGAATACTGATTTAAAGGAAAAGCAAAGGAATGATTAACAGTGGTTTCTGACAGGGAGCAATACACACAGCCACATACACGCACACACACACTTGCACTCTCTCTAACAAACGTTAGCATATTAAATGGTTACATGTCATGCTTACGGTTAAGAGAGTCAGGGATCTTTGTTAGAGAATATCCTGATGTTACATCCAGGTTGGGAACTTGCTCATTGGGAATTCCAGTATCGGAAGTTTTCAGGTGGCACGTAAAGCTAGGGAAAGACATCATGTTACTCTACCTCACTTATTCAATAGTATAACATACTCCATTACCCAGAGATACAGGTAGGACAGTATAACATACTCCATTACCCAGAGATACAGGTAGGACAGTATAACATACCCCATTACCCAGAGATACAGGTAGGACAGTATAACATACTCCATTACCCAGAGATACAGGTAGGACAGTATAACATACTCCATTACCCAGAGATACAGGTAGGACAGTATAACATACTCCATTACCCAGAGATACAGGTAGGACAGTATAACATACTCCATTACCCAGAGATACAGGTAGGACAGTATAACATACTCCATTACCCAGAGATACAGGTAGGACAGTATAACATACCCCATTACCCAGAGATACAGGTAGGACAG